TTAACAGTTGGAATTTTCTTTGCTAATGTTGATCCAATAGAAACAAAATAATTATTAAGTTCATTAGCTATGCCCTCATCTGAAGACACAACTTTATTCGTTCCCTCATCACAAATAACTAACTGTTCAATCTTTGTTTTCTTATTTTTATCATTTCTACTAATTAATTCTTTGATAATTCCCCAGGTCTTCCTCATATTATTTCTATTTTCGCTAAAGGACTCGCTATAATACATTCTTTTAGCATTCTTTATAATAGTTACTAACATATTTCTATATTTCTTGTATTCATTTCCATACTCTTCATTAAAATTTGATGACCTATATTTTTTTATACAGACTATGCTTCTTCCTGATAGATTTTACAATACCTGTTGATATCCAAGGCTTTTTTGGTGTAGATCTTTTCTTTGAACTGCTGAATGTCACATTAGGTGCATGTTTATCACACACATTTACAAACATATCATAAAAATTCTCATAAGCTACATTCACATTTCCATTTCTATAAATATGCTGCCAATTCAGTTTTGACAAATTTTCTTGAAATAGACAGACGTTGTACTTTCTATAAGATCGAGTAACCTTCCTCACAAAGGAGCTCTTTCCTGAACCATTTCGACCTTTAAAAATCACAAAAATTGGAAAATGATCCGAAACATCAGTTTCAATAACGCCTGAATGAATGGGGTAATTATGAACATTAGTATACACATGATCAATGAGAGACGAAGTCAAATTGGTCATCCTGGTTGGCGACGAAATTATCTGTTGCATTCCTGTAGATTCTATTGCGCTCAAAAAATCAGATATCTTTGGCGTACCTGTTAGTGAAAGATCAATATTGTAATCACCTATTAAAACTACATTTGCTCTACCAATATTTATATTTTCTAGTACACCAAGTAAGCCATTTAGAAACTCATCAATGTTCGTATTTGGTTTCCTATAAATCACACCGATCACAAAGTTATCAATATTATTCTTAGACACTTTTAACCACAAGCTTTCTGCATGAGCAACGTTAAATTCAAGTATTTCATAATTCACTTGTTTGTGAAAGTATGCTCCTGCTCCACCTCCTCTCTCATTCCCCTGGCGACAGTTAACCTCCAAAACATAATCTGTTAATGGGAATGTGTCTACACTAGTAACATTCCAAACTTCTGAAAGGGCAATAATATCAAATTTGTGCTTTATAGAATGATCATACAGTAGGTGCAATTCATTAATGTTTTTATTTAATGATCTAATATTTACATGAGTGATACTAAATGAATTTTCAAATACGTTTTGCAATGTACCGTCAAAGTCACTTGGACTAGTATTGTATGAGGATACATCAAATGTATATTCTTCATCATTATTAATATCTATCATTATTCAAAAATAATAAAGAAGTCGGTTTAACTGTATAAAGAGTATATTTAGCCTAGGCTAGGAAGTGGAGCTTGAAGTCTCCGTAGTCAATGTCATCCAGACCCAGGTCAAAAAGATCATCTGGGCTCTTGACAACCTTGAACTCTCCATTGTTCATTTTGCAGGAAATGTTCCCATACCTGCTTGTGGTAGATTTTACATTTGGTACAACCTTCGCCCTCATCAGTAGTGCATGGCGCATTGCACTTAGGTCTTCATTTATATAAACACCTTTCATTGTCTCCTTTCCTTTTAGATTGAAACGCGCACTGTACAATTTGTCCCTCTTCCTTCTGGATTGAAATCGCACGACGGTTTGCCTGCTCTTTCCTCCTTCTCTCTTTTTTCCAAGGCGATGGCACGCTGAAATGTCCTCCGAACGGATATCCACTCCAGCCTCCTTTGCAACTGATTTCACACTGTTGATCAGCTGATCCTCAGTCTCCTCCTCCTGAGATTCTGGCAGACCAGTAAGGCGGAGGTTATCCCTCCTCATCTCCTGCTGCATCTCATCCTGCTTAATTGAATTGGATTCGCAGGAGATGAGGGTTCAAATTTGCTTTAATAGTAGAGAAAAATGCCTCCTTCACAGCATCAATGATTTTTGGCAATGCAGCTTTAATAGCTGCATCCACGGCCTTGGAAATGATTAGTGAGATTTGACTGTCTCCAGCCATACTCTCGCTTAGCTGCTCAGACAGCCCATGATCGAGCTGTGTGTTGATGCTGCCCCCATCAGCTGTCATGCCCCTCGCTTCTTGTACCGCCTCGTCAATGCCCAAATGGGCAATAAAAGGCTGCCTCTTTGATGGCTCCTGGCCTTGTGGTGTAGGTAGAAATTTTCCTGGCATATTTTTCTTCTTGTTGTTACGCATTCTGAGATTTCGATGCATGGTTGTACAATACAGATTGAATAGATGGGACTGCAAACAAGTTTTGTTATCCAAAGCTATGGGAAGCGTTTACTACTTCTGGATATCCTATGGTTTCCTGTAATGTTTAGGATAAACCATCTCCTCTATAGTGATCAGCAAAGCGTCTATTTTACAAACACAATAACATGGAGAGTAATGCAATTCTGCAAAATATCAAATATTAAGCAAATCCTCAGAGCACATCCTCATGCAGAGCTGGTTCTATAATACTTAAATACATTTTACATTTCCACGAAGGATGTAAGTTTTAGGTAATTGTCCAGCGCTTTTCAAATTGCATAGAAATACATTTCTCTGGAGCAGCGTTATTTTAACTTTTGTTAGTCACGGTACCCTCTTCAGAAATGAAAAGTTTTTTCCCAAATCCCAAAGTCTTTACAGACAATTAATTTTGCTTGACTCTGGAACTCGTCAAGTGCTATGCACACACGTATGGGCACATTTAAGAATAAAAAGGAGAAGACATTTTCAAACTGGTAAAAAATTAGTGTGTAATCCACACACTAGAAACGATTTAAAGTACTGTATGCGGGCACCTTGCCGCCGAATGTACATAAATAAAAAGTGATATATTCGGGAATGACCTTGCTACACTAATACGAGGATATTCGGGCCTCTCGTTGCCCTTATTTGCCTTGCTGTCAATATATTGTCAGCGAGCGAGGAAAGAAGACACTTTAGTATCTTCGAATTTGTATTTTCTCATGTAATTACATATTGTAACCGTTTCTGATATTTGATTTTTTTTTTACAAAATCAACGTTTTCCAAATCATTCTCTTGCGGTACCCCGGTTGAAAAACGTTGTGCTAGAGTTACAAAATCAAACTAGATTTGTAATACTTGTTTGGAACAAGTATAGGTGGGCTGATCCAACAAAAAATTGAGACAAAATGAAGGGTACATTTGAGATAGCTTTTTGTCTCAGCTACAACATACTCGAAGTTCAGCGTAAATGAAGCTAAAACGAAGTAGATATTGCTCGCGAAAGACGGGAATGTAGAATCAAGTTTTGAGAAAAAGTCATGTCCCATAGAGAATACACGCAAAATGTGAAAAATTGACATGCCTCCTTTAATGGCTAAAATACGCCATGATGCCTTTGTCAAAATGAAAAATCATGGCAACTGGATTTGTTGAGAATTGTCTCAGCTAGAACATATCAAAATTTTAAAGAAAATCGATCAATTTTTACAAAGATACAATCAATTTTCCAAAAATATGCTGACGTCATAATATGCAAATTGAAATTTTGAGTTCGGAGGCCATTATGATGACGTCATGAGTTAATTGAGGGTCAAATGAGACATGAAATCATATCTCCGATTCATACTCAATCAAAATATGAAAAAAATTGGGGTCACCTTGCATCCTAAAGAGCTACAATGGATTTTGCATAGGCATGTTTTTGCCCATATATGCTATGTATTACAAGAGCTCGCGCGCACGGAAATTTATGTTTAACGGTCGATCATTCCGTCATTAATAGTCATAATGGGTGGTATTCTCGAAAGCGGCCTAAGTTAAACCTGGCCTAAGTTAAACCGTGGTTTAGTTAGGCCAGGCTTAACTTAGGCCGCTGACCTAAGTCATTTTCATTTCTCGAAAGGTGGCCTAACTGATCCATGGTTTAAACCTGGCCTAACTTAGTCCATGGATTATTCACCATGGTTACGGATTCTGCACATGCTCAGTACCAGAGCTGCGACGTCACAATGCACTAAGACAATGGATGCGCGCAGTGTGGAGAGGATGCATCACCTCGACAACTTGAGCAATATGACGTCACAATGCACTAAGACAATGGGCTAAGACAATGGATGCGCGCAGTATGGAGAGGATGCATCACCTTGACAACTTGAGCAATATGACGTCCAGGGGCGCGGAGCGACTTCCAAAGCGGGGGGCAGCAATAACAAAAAGGGCACTTGCTGGAATTGTATCGTAGTTAAAAGGACAATTATCAGAGGTGAAAAGGGTCACATATCACACCTGAAAAGGGGCATTGAACATATTTTAATAGGGGCACTTATGAGAATGAAAAAGAGGCACTTATAATAAAGGAAATGTGCATTTGTTGAAGGAAAAGGGGCACCGATAATTGTGTTAATAGGGGCACCTCTCAAATTTAAATAGGGCAATTATCAGAGGTGAAGGGCACTTCTCAAAAGTGAAAAGGGGCACTTATTGCAAAGGAAAATGGAAACTTGTCAAAGGAAAAGGGGTATGTCAAAATTAAAGGGGCACTTATCAGAGCTGAAAAGGGGAAGGGGCACTTTTCCTATGGAAAAAGGGGCACTTCTTACAAAGTTAAAAGGGAACTTTGCTATATAAAAAAAGGGGCATTTGAAAAAGGGGCACTGTACCCCCCCCCCAAACTCTTTCTCCCTATCTCCATCTCTCTCTCTCTCTCTCTCTTTCACACACACACTATCTCACATCATTGTTTATTTCTCTCACCATTAAATTGTTCTTTCTCATTTGGTTCCCTTTCTCTTTTACTCTATCTCTCTCTCTCGCTCGCTCTGTGTTCTCTCACTGTTCTATTTCAAGACTTTTTCCATGTATAATTCAATGAACCCAACAGTATGCACACTTAAAATCAAAAGATATGAAAGAAATATTGTATATAACATATCAACAATTATGTTCAATTTATTTATTTTTCTTAAAACAGAAAAGATTGTAATTCAAGATGAATACGATTATAAAATTGAAGGTCAAATATTAAGCTCCAATAGCCTCATAATATGCTACTTGAAATTATTAGAATTCAAAGTTATGTATTTGTTACATTACTTTTTCCCATTTTTTAAAAACAAAGCATAGTCTACTTTTGAGCCGTCTTTCTTTTGCAGGGAATCTGTTATATCATGACTTGCACTATATTATAAAACACATTATAAAACATGATTTCTTAAATGACTCAAAAATCACAATTTTTCCAGTGAAACAATGAACATCTGATGTACATAAAAACATCCTTATGAGTGATGGTTGCTTTGGGGTTCACACACACAACAAGGACATATCAGGCTTTTTATCAATGGTTGCTTGTTTGTTACCATAGCTTCATGTTATGAAGATCATAATACAAAGGTTTTGATCTCCATGCAGTCACAGTTACAGCAGATAGAGTCTGGTTCATTGAAGAGGCTAAGTAGAACTTCATAGTCCTTGCAAGTATGTCTGTTGAATAAAAAGAGAAACAAAATGAAAGGAAGCACATTGAAACCTATTTCTGTTAAACATTAAAAAGGTCTTGCATGTACATTGTGACCAAAGTGGACTTACATGCACATTGTGGTAAAAGTGGAGTGCATAATCAATTACTTGAAAGTATTGATGGAAAAATGTGAATGAACAAATGCCCTCCTTGAAGTACCTGGGCATACAAACAACAACTTATTCGTACAGCCTACCTGTCAGAAATTCAGCAGGTCAGTAGTTCTCCTTCCTCTCTCTGAATTTGTCTCAATTATCAGGGAATTTGCCTTCATTTAGTTTACTGAAGAAGAACATCATCCTGAAACAAAAATAAAAAGGTTTAGACCTCATTAAAATATCAAAGATCTACTCCATTGATAATTGGTCTTAGTTATAGTGTCAATCATATTCTAACTTTAAAAAAATAAATAAGGCGCCTTTCATGTAGGCAGTGACTAGGCACCCCCTCCCCACTCAGTTACTAGTAATCATTGATTTACAGAATGACTACAGGTATCTCTTTTAAAGTCAAGAACAAACATACACATTCTTGCAGTACTATCTCATAAATGTGCTTGCACCCAGTTGTACTTGCCATGTCATGGCCTAAGAAAGCCCTAAGTAGTTAAAGTCTATAGCCAAGTTAGTCCCTTTCCTAAAATCAAGTCTAGAGGTCTACATCTTTAATACTTTAGATAACCAGCGGACAGTTGACCTAACCTAGATGTAAACGCAGCCTGGGTTGTAGATTTTACAAGGCCCTAATCGTTAGAGCCCAACTTTTCCATTTTAGTTCAATCTAACATTAGACCAAAGATTGTCTTATTGTTTATGTTATCTCCGAAAATGAGCTTCGTGAAAGGGGAAAAAGTAAAATGAAAATTTACTGCACTGTACTGTACTGCAGTCTGTAGGTCGTTAAGTCTTATATGGTCTAGAATTGTTAGTGGTAGGTTTGAATTTTCTTCTGACCCAAATTTGAAAGTAGTTAATCAACTGTTGATTATTTGTGTCTTATTTTCAGAGATATATCCGCCCAAAAGTCTAGGCCAAGCTGTCATTGTCAGGAGTGACTGGTAGCCATGGCAATCGAGCTGAAAATATTAGCTCGTGCAGATGTAAAATGAATAAAAGTTTGAGTGTAGTTTGCACCTACATTCATCAGACAAAACAATTTTAAATCACTTCATAATGTACCTGTAGACACATCTGCAGATTCATGAAATCAGCAGATCTTTTTAATAAAAATTGTATAAACATGATTTAATTTACAAAATTTAGGAGTAATTACAGCTTTACTCACCAGCAGACTTTCCAAGAAAAATGGAGTATCTATTTTTCCTGTTCAGGAAATAACTGGTGTTGGGCCAACTGGCTTGAAGACGCCTATGTGGGTGCAATCAATAGCACCGACCATATTAACGCCAGGGAAATGGCAGTAATTATAAAATTCATGTTGGGTCTGCACTCTGCAGGACTGCCTCTCTTGTTGAAGGAATTGAGATGTATCGGTCCGATCTCCTGGCAATGGCTATTGAGATGGACTTCACAAGGCGGGACACCGTAGCTTGGGAGAGGCCTTCTTTTTTCATCCCCATGCATCAATTGAAAAGAACCTGAAATAGCAGAAAATCAAGATGAAAATTAATTAATTATGTTGATATTTGATAAGAAATTACAATTTCTCTTTCTCTGTAGTTTACTAACTAGGCCTAATAGTATTATTAGACTAAACTACTGTAACATTATCAGCAAATGTATGTCAAAAAAGGAAGCTTCTGTCCATTTCCTTTCAATTTCTATTAATAGACCTGTCTAGACTAGACTCTTATTGATGAAATTTAGATCTAGGTCTAGATATTGTTTTAAAAAATGTTTTTCTTGGGGGAGGGGGGGGGGGGGTGTTTGGTTATGAAAATCATCATCATCCTGTAGAAAATTATCACACCAACAGCCACAACTAGCACTGCAGCTCAGGCAGAGGTGATACCAGACCGAAATGTCTGTCTCTTTCGTTCGTTAGCCTCTGATTTGGGTAGGGTCGGCTGAAAAAGAGGAGCCGACCCTACCCAAATCAGACTCAGACAGAGTCTAACGAACGGAAGAGACAGCTAGATCTAAATTTAGGCCTAGTGCTAGTCCACTTTTAGGCAACAGCGTCTCGAAAATTCACTATAACAGTAGTTTCTACGTCTAGCAATGATAGTTTTAAGTTGGTGTTAAGGTGGTATATGCGTACGAAAGTACAATAGTGCCAAGAAAAAAATTACCCGGTAAGAAATTGCTCAATCTCAGGAAACGAAAATGTTAACCGACAATTATTTGCACGTATGGGACTGGTCTGCAACACTGTGAACATTTACCAAGTTTTCCCCAAATTTATTCAGTTAAAAGCATTTTAGATTATCACCAGTACAGCAACATGAAAGTAACAACAATACTTTATTAGCTGGTGTAACTTTCATGAGCGCTTATCCATACAAAAGAGTGTAAATTGTTATCAAATATAGAAATTCAAATGCAAAACTTACCGTTCACTCTCCGCGGACAGTCGATTTAACTAAAAAGTGACGTCACGCGAAGTTAGGCCGAACTATGACGTATTTAAACCTGCCCTCTGAGCGGCCTAAAGTTAGGCCGAACTATGACGTATTTAAGCCTGGCCTATCTTTAGGCCACCTTCGAGAATAGCAAAAAAGATAGTCCATGGTTTAAACCAGGTTTAGGCCACTGATTTAACTTAGGCCGCTTTCGAGAATACCACCCAAAGAGATAAACATGCTATCAATTTGTTTGTAAAAATATTTGGAATATAATGAAAGAAAAAAATGCCGATTCTATGTTGTGTAATAGTTTTACGCGCGAAAACGCGCGCGCATGCGCGTGTGCGCGATTTTTTATAAAATGCTTTAAATGGCCTAAAACGTATGCAAAATAATTTTGAGACGATTTTGAGCATTTTAAATTTTTGCGGGCGCATTGATGCGCGGACGTACGCGCACGCGCGCGTTTTATGACCTGAAATTGACCGGACGGATATTGACTTTGATCATGATAAATATGAATGAGAAATAGCTTTTGGTTATGAAGATATGATCATGAGATGATTTCCATAAAATTTTAAAAATGGCGCCTAGATGACGTCATTAGTAAAGGTCAATATTGAAAACGTTATTGTGCTTTGTAAATATGCCAATACATATTGTGTGCCAAATTTCAAGGCATTTGATCGAGCCACTTTCAAGTTATCTTGTCCACAAAAAAGTGGTTAGAAGTAAGAAAAATAAAGAATAAACTAGACATATAATACCTGTTTGGAACAAGTATAGGTGGGCTGGCAACTAAAATTTGAGACAAAATAGAGCAAAAATAAGCGAGATACTGCTTAAAAATTCTTAAAAAACAATATCGTGTAGATTCATTATGTGAACGAATTTCACCTTTTATGGGCATAACATGCATATTATGAAATTTCTGACATGAGGCCTTTAATCTAAATTTATACTATGATGACGTCATCAAAATGAAAAATGGTATTATTGAGCTTGTAGATAATTATCTTAACTACAACATATCGACATTTGGAAGAAAATCGATCAATATTTACAGAGATACAATCAATTTTCCATAAATATGCTGACGTCATAATATGCAAATTCATATTTTGTGTTCCAAGGCCATTAAGGTGATGTCACGATACACTTAATGGCCAAATGAGACATGAAATCATATCTCCAACTCATACTCTTTTCGAATATGAAAACAAAATTGGGGTCCAGGTGCATCCTAAAGAGCTATAATGGATTTTGTATAGGCATGTTTTTGCCCATGTATGTTATGTATCACAAGAGCTCGCGCGCACGGACATTTATGTTAAGGGGACGCTCATTCCGTTAATAAAGTCATTAAGAGATAAACATGGTATCAATTTGTTTGTAAAAATATGTGAAATATCATGAAAGAAAAACAATGGCGATTATATGTTGTGTAATGGTGTTACGCGCGAAAACACGCGCGCATGCGCGTGTGCGCGATTTTTTTATAAAATGCTTAAAATGACCTGAAACGTATGCAAAATAAATTTGAGACGATTTTGAGCATTTATAAATTTTGCGCGCACACTGACGCACGAACGTACGCGCACGCGCGCGTTTTTTGACATGAAATTGACCTTGATCATGATAAATATGAATGAGAAATTACTTTCCGTTATGAAGATATGATCATGAGTTAATTTTCACAAAATGGCGCCTAGATGACATCATCAGTCAAGGTCAAGGTTGAAAACGTTATTTTGATTTCTCTAAATGCCTATACATATGTGTGTCAAATTTCAAGGTATTTGATTGAACCATTTTCATGTTATCTTGTCCACAAAAAAGTGGGTAGAAATAAGAAAAATAAAGAATAATAAAGGCAATTTTAACAAAATTATAAGGTGGTCTGTATTAGATACAGCCCACCTAATAAATAATAAAGGCAATTCTAACGAAATTATAAAATGGTCTGTACGTTATACATCCCACCTAATGAGATGAATTACCAGAGAGCGGATATTTATTTTCTTTTGACATGGCACCGTACATATAACTTGAAGGCAATTTTTATTTCAAAATAATTTAACGTACAAGAAAACATATTATACTTCAGCATGACAATAAAAATAAATAGATAACGTGAAGAAAACCTTAATTTTGGATCATGGATGAGGGCCCATTATACACACAAAGACAAATACACGATTAGCTGATTAAAAAAGTTACAGAGGATGCATAAAGGAAATCTTACAAATATGTACCATTGTTGGTGAGAGAGGCTGTAACGCGTACTCATCTGCGCGCAATGTATTGTTTAATTTCTAAGAAATGTAATTTCTGTTTTTACTTGGTAGCAAAACTACGGGGGCATTGGGCAACCTCTACCCACCCCATATCGAATTGAATAATTTGAAAAGACTGAAATGAACTTCATAAATAACAAGGAAAATGAAGGTTTATAATATTTTATGTAAATAGCAATTAAGAGATAAGCTTGCATTTCACGTCACAGTGTTATTAATTCTTCGGAGGTTATTGTCCTCGCAGGGGGAGAGGTAGTTGTCTTTGGGGGTAGTTTTCCTGGAGGAGTCCTCGGGTGGTAATTGTCCTCGGGGGGTAATTGTCCTCGGGGTAATTGTCCTCGGGGGGTAATTGTCCTCGGGGGTAATTGTCCTCGTGGGGTAATTTCCCGGGGGTAAATGTCCTTGGGGGGGGGGGGGGGTAATAATAATCAGGGGGTAATTCTCCAGGGGGTAATTTTCCGGGGGGTGATTGCCCAGGGGCAATCTTAAGTACTTAACTTACAATACCATGAGCAGGCTTTCACATATTTGCTATGATAACATAAAGATAGCCAGCTAGAACAAAGCATGTATAAATGTTTGCTCATACTAAAATTAAATCTTAAAATGAAAGATACAGGTACTGATTAACCCGTTGCTTACTGGTACCTGGTGGTCCCTGTGTTAAGCCTATGGGAATTAGATAAATCAGTAGCCAACGGGTTAACTGATACACTGATACTAACGTGAAAGTGAAATTGTCACAGTTGATTTTCTTCTAGTACTTCCATTATCAATAGCTGTTTCAATTCGATTCAATTTTCCTCCCAATACCACCAGCTATGAAAACAAAGCATTTATTATACAGTTGTAAGCAGTGGCATAATGAGCAAAAACGTTTTTTTTTTTTTTGGGGGGGGGGGTGGCTGAAAAAAATCCGCATCACCCCACTCTTACATGCAGGCCCTGCTGAAGGTTTTTTCAAAGTGAGGTCTAGGGGCGGAGCTCAAGGGGTATGGGCATCAGTGGCGGATCCAGGAATTACTAACCGGGGGGCACAAAATGGCATGGGGTGAAATATTATGTAAAACGATGAAGCGACAGGGCGAGGCTTTAGCAGCGAGGGAGCGGAGCGACCAAGCGGGGGTGGGTTTGGAAGTGGATTCTGACCCTCCCCCAGAGTATTGGAAGCAATTGCAATTGTAGAACCACATTAGACGCATTTTCAGGCACTTCCTGGAGTAATATGACGTAAATCTACTTTCTCCTACCCCCTCCAAGAGTAGGGATCTTTTGCAATTTCAGAACTACATTTGGCGCATTAATGTCCACCAGCACTTCCTGGAAAAAACTAGGCTTTCTGATCCCGACATCCCCCCTCCCCCACTCCATGAACGGAGGGACACCATGCGTGTTCCCAAACTCTCCGGCTCGTAACAAAAGAAAAAGGTCTATCCGTATTGACTTTACACACCGGACTTTTGCTGAAAGGGGGGGGGGGGTGCTGTAAAAGGCTCGTATAACAAAAGAAAATGGTCGACCCGTAATGACTTTACACACCGGACTTTTGCTGAAAAGGGGGGGGGGGGGGTCGCTGGGAACACGCATATGCGTATCCTAAATAGCACTGAGTGGGTGGGCCGGGCTTCTGATTGGTTATAAGTTAGAGAAAAGTGATCTGTACGTCGTGAGACGTTGTATATGCTTCATTGCTGCACAATGGACAAAGACGGTGGTCCTTTACCTCACCAGTAGTACTTGCAAAATTATCTCGATTGTATAAACTGAGTTGTTATCAGGAGCGTTGCTAGACCTTTTTTAGTGAGGGGAGGGGAGGGGGGGGGGGGGTGTAGAGGCCACCGATTACTGACACAACGAGCCACCAATTACCGGCAAATATTTTAATCCCAATGTCCCAATGTCTAAAAATTTAACCCTATAAACCCGGGGCCAGGAACTAAGTTCAATTTCGTTGAGGCACAATAGACACAGACGGTGGTCCGGTATTTCACCAGTATAGTACTTGCAAAAGTTATCTCGATTGTATGAACTGTGTCGTTATCAGGAGCGTCGCTAGACCTTTTTTAATGACGGGAGGGGGGGGGGGGGTGTAGAGACCACCGATTACCAACAAAACGAGCTACCAATTACCGACAAATATATTAATGCCAATGTCCCAATGCCTACAAGTTGAACCCTATAGACCCGGGGCCAGGCAGTGGCGGATCCAGGGGGGGGGGGGGGGCGGCCCCCCTGGCAAAACAAAAGAAGGAAAACAAGAAGGAAACAAAAAGAAGGACAACAAAAAGGGGAAAGATTTTTTTTTTGTGTGCTAAACAAAGCATCAACAAAAACTTCTAATTTCTAAGCCATTGACGAAATATCTGACGACGTAATTTTCTAATTTCCGGAGCCAAAAAAAAAAAATTAAAATAAAAAAATTGCTTATCTGACCGTGATTAAATGCCTTAAAACCCCTGATCTTCCGGCACCTGGATGCTCATCTGACTGTAATTTAATGCCTAAAAACCCTGAGCTCCTGGGGTCTCGGCCCCTGGACCTCACGCCAATTAGTGTCCTGCCAGTGTCACAAATAAGGTATCAAAATATGTTCATCTGACCGTAGTTTATTGCCCTAAACCCCTAAACTTTCGGGGGCTCCGCCCCCTGGACCCCACGCCAATTCGTTACCTGCCAGTGTAACAAATAAGGTATAAAATTTGCTCATCTGACCGTGATTAAATGCTTCAAAACCCCTGAGCTTCCGGGGGCTCTGCCCCCTGGATTTCACCTAGGGCCCAAATTCAGGCACCTGGATGCTCATCTGACTGTAATGTAATGCCTAAAAACCCTGAGCTCTTTGGGTCTCGGTCCCCTGGACCTCACGCCAATTAGTGTCCTGCCAGTGTCACAAATAAGGTATCAAAATATGTTCATCAGACCGTAA